TTCATGGAGTCTAGAGTCTAGGAAGTCATTCAGCTACTTAGCTGTTTCAGAGTGAGTTCTAGGAAACAGAGGGGAGAAGCCTCCTTCTCTGCAGAGTTTTCGATCTAGTGAGTTATAAGACATTTGGGAACAACTTGCCATGGTGCAGACATGGTGAGACAGAGACTCAAATTGTATACTACATCAAAAAATTGAGGAAGATGCTGAGCCTGCACTGTGTCAGATACTTTCAGAGGAGACTTCAGGTTGAGTCACTGAGGGTTGGGATGTAGAAAGAAAATCTGTCTCCATCAAAGACCAAGTGGTCCACTGGCTGGAATGTGGGCACCGAGAAGGGGATGCTAAAGGTCATAAATAGGTAACAACTACATCACAGGTTGAATCTCCTGTCTCACGGACAAATTTGATTTTGTCCTTTAGATATGAGAACGCCTAGACCAAATAGGATTTTAGAGCTATTGAAAATGCACTTATTTATTTGGTGTGTGCTTGTGTGTGTCCGGGTGCATGGAGTGCCAAAGACATCTTGGAATCTCTTCTCTCCCTCTCCCACATTGGTTCTGAATATCAATTTCAGGTCATCAGTCTTGGATACATGGTGGGTACGGACAGGGGCTTTTTCTGAAATATGATTTACTCTCTGAATAAAGATCAGTAATGTATGTTTGGCTCATTCATTTGTCATGTACTTCCCTGTTTCCCATCTCAGAGACTTCCACTAGTATGCTTTCTTCTCTGTTTCTGTAAACTTCAGAGCTATAGACCCCCCAATATCCCACCATCCCAAACTAATTAATTCAACAGCTCACTCATCCAGCTTTTTTCATCTCAGAAATTCATAGGATGTAGGATTGCTTTCAGAATTCAAGTTCTCCAGTCAGAATACGTGGGGATATTATATATATATGATATATATTTGAGATATATATATATATGATATATATTTGATATATATATCATATATATATATATGATTTTTATTTAGCTCTACATTTTTCTCTGCTCCCTTCCCTGCCTCTCCCCTCCCCTCAACACTCTCCCAAGGTCCCCATGCTCCCAATTTACTCAGGAGATCTTGTCTCTTTCTACTTCCCGTGTGGATTAGATCCATGTATGTCCCTCTTGGAGTCTTCATTGTTGTCTAGGTTCTCTGGGATTATATGGTTTGTAGGCTTGTTTTCTTTATCCTTTTGTTTAAAAACCACTTATAGATGGGTACATATGATAATTGTCTTCTGGGTCTGGGTTACCTGACTCAAAATGATGTTTTCTAGCTCCATCCATTTGTCTGCAAAATTTAAGATGTCATTTTTTTTCCTGCTGTGTAGTACTCCATTGTGTAAAATGTACCACATTTTCTTTATCCATTCTTCAGTTGAAGGGCATCTAGGTTGTTTCCAGGTTCTGGCTATAGCAAACAATGCTGCTATGAACATAGTTGAGCACATGTCCTTGTGGCACGGTTGAGCATCTTTTAACTAAAATCTAACTCCATCGTTTCCATCTGTAAAGAAGGTAATACTAATATCTGTGTTACAAGATTAACTGAGCATTAAATGATGTGTTAACTGTTCGCCATGTGATGCAATACTCAAGGTAAGTCACCTGGGAAGGCAAGGTCTCTTTTCATGGTTCAATTCAGTCACTTGGTCCCATTGCTTGTAGGCCTGTGACAAGGCAGAGCCATCATGACAGGGAGCACAAGGCAGAGGGACTGCTCCCAGCACAGAAGCCAAGAGACAGAGAGCGTGAGGACAAACTTTGGCTGGTGGGCACAACCGCGTCTTCTGATTTTGTCATATCTAGACTGTTAACCCATTGGGTGGTACCGCCCATATTCAGGATTGGTTGTCCTTTCCTGGTTGCTATCCCAGATTCTAACTTACTTTAGAAACACAACCGGAAGTGTTTTTACCAATCCCTTATGTATCTCTCAATCCAGTCAGGACAACAACCAGGACTGACGGTCACACTGATTCCTCTCTGGAGGAACAACTCATCAAGCACATATACAATTAAACACTCGCCGTATGATGACGGCTGACATTCTGACTTTTTGCCCAAAACATAGCTCACATTTAAACTTTTTAAAAAATATTTATTTATTTTACAACCCAATCACAGTTCACCCACCCTCCTTCCAGTTCCTCGCCCCACCTCCCTCGCTTTTCCTCCCCATCCACACCTTCATTTCTATTCAGAAAATGGCATACCTCTCCTGGATATAAACAAAGTATGGCATATCAGGCTGTAGTAAGCCCCTCCCCTTATATTAAGGCTGGGCAAGGCAATCCAGTATGAGGAGTAGGGTCCCCAAAGCCAGCAAGAGTGTCAGAGGCAACCCCTGCTCCCACCATTTGGAGTCCCTCAAGAAGACTACATTACACAACTGTGACATACATGCAGAGGGCCTACGTCAGTCCCATGCAGACTCCCTGGTTGTCAGTTCAGTCTCTGTGAGCCCCTATGAACCCCGGTTGATGATTCTGTGGATTTTCTTATGATGTCCTTGGCCCCTCTGACTCCTATAATCCTTCCTCCCTCTCAGCAGGATACCCTGAGCCTGGTCTACTGTTTGACTGTGACTCTTTGTACTTGCTTCCACCAGCTATGGGATGAAGCCTCTCCTCACCCACATTTTATTAGAGCTATTTATGTAATCTTTCTTCTTGACCCAAGTGTCACTTCCTTGAGGGCAGGACTCATTTTCTGAGTTTTAAAAAACATTATCATGTTTCACACACACAGACACATACACACACACATGCACACACGCACACAGATTCATTGAACTTTATTGGTTTTGTGTACAAAACTTTCTTGTTTTTGAGAAAGCAAAACATCAGCCTATTTTCTCCATCCAGCTTCAACCCTAGTCTAGGGTTTTTAGTTGACTGTCAAGACATTTTGCCATTGATATCTGTGGTGTCCTTGATTCTGAATATTTGGTTAGGAATAAATATAGCTGCCAATTATTTCACTTCTGTGGTGGGAAACACAAACTTCTTTATGACTTGGTTTCCAGGAATGATGAAAATTAAAGCATTGATATATATTATCTAAGGGTTTATAATTTCCTAGTTTTCATGTCTACTTCCTGGACACAAAGCCGAGAAAGGCTTATCATCCAATTGTCCACCCACACAAGAACAGTGTGGTCTAGTAATTATAGGCCACATTTTCTCATTTAATGGCAAGCAAATCAGAGTCAAACTCTTGTTTCTCGCTAGGCTAGTCAACTACAAATAAAACTTCTCACCCCCGTCTCCTCACTTCATGTCTTCGTTCCAAGGAACTCCAGCTAAGCGAGTTTTCGAAGAAATTGAAGCTGCTATCCAGGTTCTCAAACTACCTTCGTTTTATGTATATTCACTAAAAATTCTTTAAAAGAATGACTCTGTTCCTACTTCCTTAAACATAAAGTAGCAGACATCAAACTTTTCACTGACAATTCACAGTGGAATTGAATCAACCCTTGCTAACTGCTTTACCGCATGGTTGGTGAAAGGGGTTCCAAGACTGATTGTCTGAATCATAATTGCTGTACAGTGCTGATGCTATGCAAAACTAGCCTTGGAGATGCCGAACAACATAGGGTATTCATCTTTGCCCTGAATGTTGCCCTCTGCCCTTTTAAGTTTTCATCTATACTCTTTGGATTTTTGCTGAGACACCATCAAGTTGATTCTCAACCTTCCTAATGCTGTGACCCTTTAACACAGTTCCTCATGTTGTGGTGACTCCCAACCATAAAATAATTTTGTTCCTATTTCATAACCATAACTTTGCTACTGTTATGAATCACAATGCAACTATCTGTGTTTTCTGATGGTTTTTGGCAACCCCGTGAAAAGATCTTTTGACTCCAGAAAGGGTTATGATGCACAGATTGAGAATCGCTGTTCTAGCTGACTATTGTGGTCTCAAGAGTCCATCTATTTATACTTCTTTCAATTTCCCCTCTGTTAGCATCTGGATCATTAGTTCAACCACATCCTTTCCTTTTGTCTTTTCTTTGGTATTTAGTTATCAACTACTACATTCTAAGTGTACCTTGTAGGTAAAAGAAGAACAAAATGTACACAGATCCCATAACCAAGCACAACTTGTTTAAATGATATAAAACTATAAAATGTGTTACAGCTTTGTCTTAGTTAGGTTTCTATTGCTGTGAAGAAACACCACGGCCACAGCAACTTTTATGTAGGAAAACATTTAATTGGGTGGTTTACAGTTTCATTGGTTTAGTCCATTATCATCATGGAGGACATGGTGATGTGCAGGTAACGGGAAGTGAACTGTGATACTGTGCATAGCTGGAACATAGGACACTTCAAAGCCTACCTTCAGAGTCACACACTTCCTGCAGTGAGGCCCACATTTCCAACATGGCCACACCTCCTAATCGTGCCACTCCCTTTGGGGGCCATCTTCTTTCAAACCACCACAGCCTTCATGAAGTAAAAATGATTCTTGGCGGGGAGTTTATACAAGATCCAGCATCTCGCAGAACGAGTTTATGATGAACACAGTGGGGGACGTAAAAATGAGAATTCACAGTCTTGGAGAGGGGGTGACTACAGAACCTGGAGGGCCTTGAGGGCCAGACTGACAATGCGATACCACCAGCGCCCCCATTTTGTGCTTCGGATGAGCCCAGTAGTATTGGAGCAGGATCAGTGTGAGGAGCCAGCAGCCATGGAGTTAATTAGGTTTGGGTGGGGACAGGATAGAATCTATGGTGAGATATGGGCAGAGCTGGCCCTAACAGTGGAGGGAGAAAGTAGCTACAAGGTGAGCTGGGCTGATCAGCAATGCAGATTGGGCAGGCGTCTGTCCAGACAGGTCCAGAAGCCGGTCAGAACTTCCCTTCATCTTGGTCAGAGTTTCTCCCTCTATGTTCACTGTTGGTTTTTTCCTGTCATTTCTTCTCCAATCTTTATTCTTCCTACTTTGTTTTCCCCCACTTAGTGCTTTTCCCTGTATCCTTTTGTTTTTAGGTCAGCACTGCTTGACACAGAAGTCCTTGCTACTACAGGTCGTCTGCCACCTTTTCTTTGGAGAGTTTTTATCTAAGGTAACTTTTCTTTCTTTAGCTATGGCTCCTTCCTTATTGGAGATACATTCTTTGGCATTGGTGGATGCACATCGATAGTACCAGGGACTTTGCCGTTGGAGGATGCCCATGTGCAGTACCAGGGACTTTGCCATTGGAGGATGCCCATGTGCAGTACCAGGGACTTTGCCATTGGAGGATGCACATCCACAGTACCAGGGACTTTGCCGTTGGAGGATGCCCATGTGCAGTACCAGGGACTTTGCCATTGGAGGATGCACATCCACAGCACCAGAGACTCCCAAGCTGTTCTTGACTAACACCACTCCAACATTTCTGTTATGGCCTCAGTTTTCACTATGAGTTGCAAGTTGAATGCTTCCCATGTGCGCATATTTTAAATGTTTGAACTTGTGGTGCTCTTCTCAAGGCCATGGGGCCTTTGGAAGTGAGGACCAACTGAAAGAAGCAAGTCACTAACGGTAGCCCTTTGAAGGTTATGGCCAGGCCTTTGTCTCCAGGTTGGCCATGATAGAAGGCATCTCTTCCATGTGCTGTTGTCTCCATGAACAGCTCCACAGCTTCCCTGCTATGATGGACTGAGTTCCTTTTGAAACTGTAGTCTAAAATAAGTGCTACAAAAGTATCAGTTTGATGTCAAAAGTAACTGATGCTATCTCATTCCAGGCTTTAGTGGTCATTATTAGCTACCAGTCTGGTCAATGTCTGCCACACGCTCTTAGACTCTGCCTACTGGTTCCCTTAGCTTCCACTCACTGGCTGAATTGCTCTTACCTTTCTCCACTTGCAGTACAGGAAATGCAAACATAGACCATACCAACTAGATACACTCCAGAGCAGGGATTTATGCCTGGGGGCATTTAACAAAGTCTGCAGAGACATTTCTGGTCATTGCACCATGGTCAAGGGAGGGATGCTGGCTTCCAGCAGTCCAAGTCAAGGGTCTATGAAAACTCTCCTAGCACACGGGGACAGTTCCCACCCCCAAAAGAGTCATCCAGCCTGAGATGGCAACCTTGTTAGACTAAGAAACTGTTATCCAGAAGTATTTGTTTTGGTTTGCTGCTGAGACAAATCTAAAAATAATAGGATCAATTAAAAAGAAAATAAGTTGCAATCAGTTATGAAAAACAGCAAAGGGATCTGAAGACGGTAAACAGCAAATGTACCTGCTTTAATAATAAAAAGAAATGTCTTGTTTTTACTTACAAAATTATTCTGGTTGGTTTCTCAGTCCTCCCAACAGCTCTGAGTTTGATAGTAGTAATATTTTAATATAAAGGAAATGAGGCAGAGGGAATATGATGCCTCTCTTAGAGACACCATCCAAAACACAGATCTGTGGATTTTTACCCCAAATTTAACAACTGCCCACCGCCCGCCCTGAAGAAACTATACAAGGCTAGTCACACAGCTTAACTGGAGCTATAATGGCAGAAAACAAGGGCAGGAACCAAAGCTGCTGTCGCAAAGAAACACTCACCCCGTTCTCTATTTGGTATTTAAAAATAGGAGAGCAGGCGCATAGCTTGAACCTGAGATGATGCTCGCCGCTTTGTGAAGGCTCTCCCGGAGCATCGTCTTCGGAACAAATTGGCCCTCTCCTACAAAGGTTTCTTTTTTGTAGTCTTGAAAACTCCTTTTTAATGGCTTGCGTGGCACCAGTTATGCCCCTGAGCTGTAATGAAGCGCTCTGCAAGTCACCACATGTGAGTCAGAAACAATCCCGCCAGAGAGGACAGAGCCCGAGCCTTAATAGGCTTTAATCCACGGTAAGCAAACCCGTTGAGCCACCACCATGTGCTTTTAAAAATCTAAATGTCATGATATTTTCAACCGTTTTCTCCTGCCTGCAATCAGTTTGGGTCCAAGAGACAGCTAAAGACGGATCAGAAGCGGAAATCCCAAGTGCACATAACTGCTCGGGAGCACACCTTGAGTTTACAAGCACCATCGAGGCAAGACACGGTGATGGATGGGGCACAGCAGGAACTGGGGGCTGTGGCTCTAGCAGACGTGTGCAAAGCCTGCGCGTGCAGCAGAGTCTGTCTGGCATTATGTTTGATTGCATCTTCAGTATATGGGGTGAGAAGGGGCTGGATTTCACTGAAGCAGAGCAACAGTGGATGTACTGCCCACTTCTTGCACTGTTCCTAGCCAATTCACAGAGATTCGGTTACCACCTACCCATCTGAAATTGCACAATGCCTTGGCAGCTCTTAATAGATGCTGAACCATTGGGGAAGTAATAGACTCTCTGCATGGAGGCAAAACAGATCAGCCTTTAAACTAGTGACCTTTTCATTATGTCCTTTCGCAGGGGAATAACAGTGACATACATATCTAGACACAGGGACTTGTCAGGGCTTTGGGCCAAGGCTACTGGTCCCATAGTCAAGTGTCTTGCAGATATAGCAACTGCTCTAGTTAACGGCAGACAGCATCCTAAATGCCTGAGATAGCATCTTGTCACTCTTGTGAAAGGTAGATTATATATCCTTAGTTATTCAGCAACTGACTCACTTATGCAAGTTGTGCAAGTCCTGAGGCTCTGGAACAGAAAACTTAAAAGCTAGTTATAGTTTCAAATTCGTATTGAGACATGGCTGCAGAGCTTGCTGTGTGCAAGGCATGATTCCAAGAGCTTTATGACGTTAATACTCAGAGATCTTCTGGAGGAGGTCCTGATTTACACCTGATTTCAACGGGCCAACAGAGGCATGGGGGAAGCTAAGTAATCTGCTCAAGGTCACACAGCTCACGGGAGGCGGAAGCACAGTTTGAACCCTGGGTATGTTTGGAGCTTGGGTGCTCCTATTGCAATGCTACGTTCCTTCTTGAAGCAGGCAGGGGAGTCTTTGCATATAGGCTGAACCTCTGCTACCCTGGGACATGGATGGGAGACTGAAACCATCATCAGTTACTCCAAATGACAGATATTCATTTGGGAAGCAGAGCAAGTGGAAAGAGAAGGAGTCGGAAGGTCTAGGGTAGGTCTCAGACTTTCGTGTCCTTATGACTCTGTTGGGGATCATGTTGAAACGTAGGCCTAGAGTGGGGCTGGGAAGTCTTCTGAGAGTTGCTGGGCCATAAACCGTATTTTGTTACTGTTTTAAATTTTAAAAGATTGTTTTTAATTTCATATGTGGAAATTGGAAGATTTAATTAAACGATTTTGATTAAATCTATTCCGGACTCCCTTCCTTACAACGTTTCTTATGCTTCTTACCATTTTTCCCTCCTAACTTCATGTACTGTTTTTAAAACCCATCAAGTCCCCTTAATGTGGCCAGTACCTTGTGTGGGTGTAGAGTGATCCTCTGGAACATGGCCAGTCTATCAGGTGCTGTATCTCCCTGTTCCCTGTAGCTATCAGTTGCCATAGCCCTCAGCTAGGGCTGGGGCTTTGTGAGCCCATTCCCCACTCATGCTGGAGTATTATCTGGCTTGATCATGTACAGATCTTGTGCATAGTGATAGTACTGCAAGTTCAGGTGTGTGATGTCCTGATCATGACCAAAAATCACTTTTTCATAGAAATCCTCTACTCTCTGGCCTTTCTAATTTCCCCAACTACTTCCGTGAGCCTCCAAAGCAGAGGGTGAGATACAGTGCTACCATTTACTGCTAAGAATGGCATGGTCTCCTATTCTCTGCACTTTGACCATCAGCTGATATGAGATTCCCCTCTGTATGCTGCGAATGGTTAACAAAGGAACTGCTTTGGGCCTATAGCAGAGCTATAGAGGAACAGAGCTAGGCGGGGAAAACTAAACTGAAGGCTGGGAGAAAGGAGGCGGAGTTAGGGCGAAGCCATGGAGCCATCATCGGAGACAGATGTGCTGAAACTTTGCTGGTAGGCCACAACCTCGTGGTGATGCACAGATTAATGGAGATGGGTTAAATTAAGATGTAAGAGTTAGCCAATAAGAAGCTAGAGCTAATGGGCCAAGCAGTGATTTAAATAATATGGCTTCTGTTTGATTATTTCGGGACTGAGTAGCTGGGAACCAACAAGCAGCGTCCCTACAACAATCTACTACAAAAAGAACCTTCTCTGATGAAAGCTGAGAGTTGTATTAGTCTGGAGTTATAAAGGTAAGTATTTCAGATGAAGTTTAATATTTTTTCCACTTAACTAAATAATGGTGAGAGGTTCTCTCCTAAGGCCTATGTCCTATCTAGCCGTGGGTTCTTGGGCCAGTTAATAGGTGCGGCCCATGTTGTTTCATCTTGTGGAGTTTTAAATTAAATCAGGAAGTGACTGGTCCCAATTCATTCATTGCACCATTGCACCTGTGGGCATATCTTAGCATGTCAGCCATAGCACTATTGCACCTGTGGGCATATCTTAGCAAGTCAGCACTGAGCATATTTTGAATACAAAGATCCGGACTTGATTAACAACGTCACCATCACCAGGAAGCTTTTTGAAAATGCAGTCGTGGATTTGACTCCAGGACTATCTAACCAGAATCTACACTGTAACAAAATCTCCAGGTGAGTTCATGTGCACTATAATGTTTTGAGAAGTACTTGTTGAGTTTATTCTTCAGTATACCAAGATCCATATACTTCATTAAACACGCTATAAACAAACTGGTTATAACGGCAAGAAAGATAGAAGCAATATAAAGTCCTTACCAGAAGTTTTAATCAACTCTTTGAAATATTTATTTTACTTGTGATCACTTCAATTAAAGAAAAGTCCTTGATGAATCCCCCATACAAAGACTATTTGCAAGATTGGTGTAATATTTTCATTTCAGAAGAACTACTCAACTCCTGTTGTTGTTCCTTTAGAGTCTGGCACAGCTGGACACTGGAATAGTTAGAATCTGGAAGAGAGCCAGGAGTCTTTCCCACTGGCATCTCCATCTCTAGAGTGCTGTGCTTAGCCACCTATAGACTGGGTGTGGCTCTCAGACAGACTGGGGATGGCTACCCCCTTGCCCTCGCATGGATGTG